GTCTGAAGAAATCTCATTATGTAAACCTATTCAATTGTGCCTTCTAATATTAGATGCAGGAAAATGGTTAATAAAACTCCCTCCGGTTGGTTTGAGACTGCTACAAAATTACAGTATCACAAGCATTTGCAATTGCTTACTGAACTTGCTCTCAGAACAAAAATCAAATTAAAGCTGGGCTATGTGGGCTGGGGATTTAGCTCAGCAGCATAAGCGCCTGCCTTGCAAGCAGGCAGTTGTGAGTTCGATCCCTGGTACCAATAAAAAGGAAAAAGACAAAAAAAAAAAAAAAAGCTGGGATATGTAACAAAAATAAGTCTAGAGCCCTTCCATCATTCCTGAAGAAATGCTCAAAAGAACATCTTAACAATACTGTACAAAAAATACACAATTTATCATTCTGGCAAAAATTCAACAGCGTGACAATTTACAAAAATCAGATTTGCAACAAAAGTTGCCATTCGCTGAGAATTCACTGGCTGCATCAGAATGCTACATGGACTAAAGTAAGGAAACTCCTTCTTTTTCTTCCTGTATATCTCCAAACAGCTCCCTCTCCTTCACCTTCTACAAACAACCTTTAGGAAGGTGGACATGGAAAAAAATGAGCAACTTATAACCTAATTCTTATAAGCTTCAATATTATATTTTGAACAGGCTAAGAAATGCTCATGTACAAAATACACTGATCCAAAGGGATACACAGTAAAAGTACATCTCCTCACTCAGCCTTCACTTCCCAGTCTCCAGTTCTCCTTTCCAGAGTAACTGTTACCAATTTCTGGAGTAAGCTTCCTAAATTATCAAACTTTTTTTTTGTGGTACCAGATATCGAACTCAGGACCTTGTACTTGCCAGGCAGGTGCTTGTGCTACTAAATGATATCCCCAGCCCTAAATTACCAAACTTTTACTTGCAAATTATTTACATGTTAAAACAACAATGAAGACTACCAAAAACGAAAGAGAGAGAGAGAGCGTGTGTGTCTTTTTTTTTTTGTTTTGTTTTGTTTTGTTTTGTTTTGTTTTGTTTGTCTTTTAGTTTTTTATCGGTACCAGGGATCGAACTCACGACTGCCTGCTTGCAAGGCAGGTGCTTATGCCGCTGAGCTAAACCTCCAGCCCCCGCGTGTGTGTCTTTTGAAACAGGGTCTCACTATGCAGTTCAGGCTGTCCATGTTGCAGCCCAGGTTGGTCTTGAACTCAGTGATCCTCCCGTCTCAGCCTCCTGAGTGCTGGAATTACAGGACAATAATTTTTATAAGCAAAATCATTCTAAAAACTTTCCTCCTGGGCCAGGGATTTAGCTCAGTGGCATAAGTGCCAGCCTGGCAAGTGCTAGGTTGTGAGTTCAATCCCCATTACAAAAGAAAAAAAAAAAACTTCCTCTCAAAGAATAGGGGTATAGTTCAGCAGTAGACACCTACCATGCACAAGGCCCTGCTATCAATTTCAGGTACAAAAAAAAAAAAAAAATACAGAAAGACTTTCCTCTTGAGTCAAAATAAATTTACTTTCATCGAGTCACTCAAGATAAAGAACAAGAAAAAAATCTACTGCTACTACTTCTTTGTGCTTACTCACAAGGGCACTAGCCCAGATGGCAGAAGCAACACATGCTAAAGGAAAGCAGGAAAGGAACAGAATGAGCAGGGGAGCTCATCTACAATGTTTCAATCTTATCATTTCTTTCTTTTCTTTTCTTTTCTTTTTTCTTTTAAGCAAAGAAAAAAACTACACATTATTATGCACAAATGAAAATGCCTGTAGCTAATTCCATTTTCCCATTAAGAAATTCAATTGATTACAATTACATTTTGGATGGACACAAGTGGATACCACCTTCCCCAAACAAACCTTATGCAAAGTTGGCAGGTTTTCCTTTTCGCCTTAGGCAGAAAGCAAGAAGCAACCTCACTCCCATCCTAACAGCAAAAGGTAAAAAAGAACACTATAGCTTAATTCACAACTTGAATTCACCAGAGAGCTCAGGTATCAGAGCCACCAAGAAGTATGCAATCCTAGTAACTAATGCCCAGGAGACAGAGGTAGGCACTGGTGCTCCTGCGTTACAGCATGTTACAAAAGATAAGCTAGTACCATGCAAGTGGGTGATAAAAATTCAACTAAAACTTCTAAAGACTGTAAGCACAAAGTCCTGAGTTTGATTCCCAGTTTCAAAAAAAAAAAAAAAAAAACGGGCTGGGGATTTAGCTCAGCGGCATAAGTGCCTGCCTGGCAAGCCAAGGTCGTGAATTCAATCCCCAGTACCGAAGGGGGAAAAAAAAAAAACCTTCTAGTGACTTACTTAAAGGTGAGGAGCTACAGCAGCGTGCGGGAAAAACCTCCCAGTACCTCACTCCCCATAGTAAGCCAAAAAGTAAAATCCATGGGCAATCACAGAAACATCCTAAAACCAGCTCAGCATCTGTGACAAGCTGACTCAACCCAACAGATATGCCTTATATCTATATATAGATATACAGATATATAGATATATATATATGTATACATGCATATGTATATGTATGTATATATATATATATATATATATATATATATATATATATACACACACAGGCACTAGAGAAAAAGTGCTAGTAAGAAACGAAACAGCAACTTTGGCAGGAGGATCCTTGCAAGTTCAAGACCAACCTGGGCTTCAAAGTGAGCTCAAAGCCAGCCTGAACTGTATAGCAGGACCCTGTCTTAAAACAACAAAAAGAAAAAAGAAAAGAAACAAAACAGGTCTGGAGACTTAGCTTAGTGGTGTAAGAGCCTGCCTGGCAAGTGCAAGGCTATGAGTTCAATCCCCAGTAACACAAAAAAGAAAAGAAAAAAGAAAAAAAAAAAAAAAAAAAACAGCCAGGCATGTTGGTACATACCTGTAATCCCTCCATTTGGGAGGCTGAGGCAAGAGACTCACTTGGATTTGAATTTGAGGCCAGCCTGGGTAAGTTCCAGGTCAGCCTCAACTACATGCAAGACTCAAGTCTCAAAAAAACAAAACAGGGGCTGGGGGTTTAGCTCAGCAGCATAAGTGCCTGCCTTGAAAGCAGGCAGTTGTGAGTTCGATCCCCGGTACTGATAAAAAGGACAAAGACAAAAAAAAAAAAAAAAAGGAACAAAACAGCCAGAGTGAGAGACATGCAAGATACTCAAATTACTAGACAGCTATTTAAAGTACCTCTGGTGCGTGTGTATGTGTCTTCTGCTAGAGATCAAACATCCAGGACATTTCCCATGCTAGCCAAATGCTCCAGTTCTATGCTCTTTTTCCCAGCTTCCCACCCCTTTACTAGGCCTAATACATTCTATAGTAGTAAAGGTAAAAACAATAAAGAAATCCATAAAAGATGAAAAAACATAGGCAAGATTCAAATAGAAATGCCAGAAAATTTTTAAAGCACAGATAATAAAGATTTTTTCAAATGCCGTGGTCAGGCACAGTGGCGAATGCCTGTACTCCCAGTACTTAGGGGACTGAGGCAGAAAGACTACAACTTTGAGGCCAGACCAGGCAACTCAAGGAGACCCTGTCTCAAAATGAAAACTAAAAAGGAGTGGAGGGCTGGGGATTTAGCTCAATGGCATATGAGCCTGCCTGGCAAGTGTGAGGTCATGAGTTCGATCACCGGCACCAAAAAAGAAAGAAACAAGGAAATGGACTGGGGACTAGCTCATTGTTACAGTATCTCAGATTCCACTTCTAGTACCAAAAAGCAAAAACTCCAACCAAACAAAACACAAATAAGAGGGGAGAAGGCTAGAACATCTCAGGGCTTCTGACAATATAAACAATCTAACGAAAATTCTAATTAGAATTCTATGGGACTTTGAGCCAGACGTGGCGGTGCACACCTGTAATTCCAGCACTTGGGAAGCTGCAGCAGGAGGATCACAAGTTTGAGGCAGCAGAGTTCAAGATCAGGCTGAACTACACAGTGAGGCCTTAAAGGGTGAACAACTGTCCCCCCTCCAAAAAATGTACACACATGGGACAACAGATCAAAATACATCAAAACACCAGTAGGACTAAAGGGAGAATTAAAACAAATCCACAAAATGACATACAGACCAACATTTCTCTCTCATACACTACCAAACAACTAGAGCCCACTCAGTAACAGCTGGCCTAAGCTACAAAGTCAAAAAACGTCAAACCAAGAAACAAAATAAATTTTGTTTAAAGCTTGATAAACAAAACTAGACACAGATCATTGATGGTTTTATTGGTGAATTCTATCAATTGCAAAGAAAAAATTAATTCTATACCAAGTATTATAGAAAACAGAAGAGGGAATGCTTTCCCAACCCATTTTACAAAGTCAGCATGACCTCAACTCTAAAACCAAAGACATTATATTACAATTAAAGACCAACATTCCTCAAGAGTATAGATGTAAAAATTCTTGACCAAATATTAACATATCAATTCAGGATACATGAAGACAGAAAATCTCTTTGAAAGTTTTTAATTCATGTTTAATCCTGCTCTAAAATGACCCCAAAGACAATAAATGACATCTGATTCCAGTTTTAAATTCTAATGTAAGTATGGAACCTAACTTTACCCAAAAAAAAAAAAAAAGTTATGTATCTAACTTTACAAAAGAAAATTTTTTGAGACACAGTATCCCTATGTAGTTCAGGTTGGCCTTGAACACACAGGGATTCTCCAGCCTCAGCCCTGAGTACAAGGATACAGGCCTGCACCACTATGCCCAGCCCAAAACTACACTCAAGAAAAGGCTCCGCAGGCATCTCAACTTAGGGACATAAGAAAAGAAGTTAGGGAGTTAAGGATACATGGTGACTGACACATTACAAAAAAGACAGCCTCAGCACAGACTCACCAGGCTTCGGGTGAGAGTATCTACTTTTAAGTTTTAACCCAAACTTAAAAAACTCCACTGATTTTCCTCAGGGTTTGTATGGCATGAAGCATACACTCCAATCTCCTTTCTGAAGGCACGTGTTCAGTTTGGTTTAAGCACTTACCTTCAACCTGGCTGGAATCTGTACTCAGCTTCTTCTTTGCCTCTGAGTTCCCGGCCTTCTCGTCACCATCCATAAGAGGAATATAGTCTGTTTTTCCAACAGTTTCCCCCACAACATCGTCGTAGGCCTCCGCCTCCAGGGTGGCCATGAAGTCCCGCTTGATCTCCTCCTCGATTTCTGGAGGTGGCTCCGTTAGTGCATCTGCAAGACTGAGGTCAGCCATTCTGCAGCACTACCACTACCTGTGGGGACAGGGGTTTCACATGGTGAGCACTCCAAGGAGAAAACACTTCTAGAAACTCTCAGCAACTGCTTTAAACAAAGAAAGAACAACACTAACATTTGAGAACTAGACAAAGTTTTACTTGAAAGATAAGAATATTAAAGCTCAGAAATAAACAAGTTTATCCAAAAATAAATCATTGCTAATTCACTTTTTTTCTCACATTTCTAGAAGGAAGACAAAACAAGGGTCACTTTGTCTTCTTTATTAATAAAGTACAAAAAATCAACTTAAAGAACAACTAAGATTTAAATCGAGTCTTTTGACTTCAAGCCTCATACTCTTTCAACTATGTGTCTTCTTTGCTAAGCCATAACCCAGATTGCTTTTAAAATAATATACAGGGTCAGCCAGGCGTAGTGGCACACACCTATAATCTTAGCACTTGGGAGGCTGAGGCAGGAGGATCGTTGCAGTTTAAGACCAGCGTGTTTAAGCGTGTTAAGACCAGCATTGCAATTTAAGATCGTCACACTTAAGACCAGCGTGGACTACAAAGTGAGTTCAAGGCCAGCCTCAACTGCATTGCAAGATACTGTCTTTAAATAAATATATATGTATTACACACAGAGGACCAGGGAAATAACTCAGTGGTGTAAGTGCATGATAAGCTCCTGCCTGACAAGTGTAAGGTCTTAAGTTCAATTGCTGGCACCAAAAAAATTTTTAAAGTAAAAAAATAAAAATAAACTTAAAAAAATACACAAAACAAGTTAGTCAATAAAATAAAAGAACAGATTTTTACTAAATTAAATTACTTGGAGTGGTGCAGACTGAAGCCAGCAACTTCACAGTGAGCTGTATCTCTAGCCCTTTTTATTTTAAGATATTAAATTGCTAAGTTGCCCAGGCTAAGCTTGAATTTGTGATCTTCCTCCCTCAGCTTTTCAGATTGAGGGGATTATAAGTATGCACTAACCTGTCTGGTGAAATCATCTTTCTTAAATGAAGATTAAATATGCCTTTAAAGTCTAAAATGAAGGGGGGGGACCTCCAAAAAGAAGACCGTGAACATATTACCTCTACTGCAGACCTAAGCCAAACACCCATCCTTAGAGCTACTATTCATAGTTGATGAGAGATTTATTCTTCCTTATCTCCACTTAATAAAAAATCCCTATCCTGACAGGTTAGGACTAAAGTTGAATAAATCACAAGAAAATAAGTAACAAAGGACCATTTTGTGACTGACCACTACAAATCTTTTTCAATCATTTTATGTTCTGCGATAGGACCAAGCTGTGAGGTAACAATCACCAAACATCCAAAAAACAAATGTTTTCAGTACTCTTAAAACTTCAGAAGCAATCCTCCCACCCCATACCCAAATGCAATCCTTGCTGTGTGTTTCAGTGTAGGAAGTGTAAGACGTAGCATAAAGGATTAAATGCCAATACATAAATCCGACTGTACCAATGCCAAATTCTTTTCCACAAAACAAAAGTACAGAGAGGATAAGTAAGCCTGAAAGTGAGACTTGCTTTTTATGCCCTAAAATGAAAAAAGAACAATTCTTGCAGAACAGGGAATGTTGATAAGGTTTGTCCCTATCTGTACGTGGCTTGGTGAAAGTATTCACATATTCTTTATATTGCATATGAGGAAAAAATAACAAGATTTGAAAAGATATTAAATACTTAGTTTATATAGACTTGGGTTACATTTTATACCTAGATGCCCTCCCAGAGCCTCATGCGCTCCCATGCAGAGCTTGGAGTAAGACACTCAGCAGTGGGTAAGTGGTCCATCTCCCTCCTCCTCCCTTGAGCCCTCCCTGCTTCCTGTCTGCCAGTGTGGTGAGCTGTTTCTCCTCCGCCTGGCCCCTCTGCCATGCCACCCCGCCTCTGAGTCAGCTGACTACAAAATGAAACTTCTACAAACTGTGAGACAAAAAACTCTTTTCCCCCTTAAACTGTGGGTGCTGAATGTCTCAATGATAAGGAAAGTAAGCAACTTCCAAACAGAATCCTTTCAAAAATCTTAATAATAAATTTGAGCCTTCCTCCATGTGTCTAACATTTAAATATCAGGTTTCCTATCTGAAATGGCTACTTTGATTCCTGACCAAGAATCTTCCATGATGGGCAGGGTAAAACTAATGCTGAAACCCTAAACCCACTGAGCTGAAGACCCTAAGTTCCAGCCCCTCAAATTAATTAATTAATGTTGACTTTTTTCCATGAATAAAGGCATAGTAAAAAAAAAAAAATGTCTTTTCAAATTTTACATAGTTCCATCATACAAAAAAAAGGGTAAAAAGAATTCTTTGATTTTCTAAAAACATGTTGTTAAAAATTTCATGTAATTTTGATTTCCTAAATCACATCTTTTTGCAAGACTAATATTTCAAAGCAGTAAAATTTGCTTCATACATACCGAGGGTTGATACATACTACTACTTTTAATAAAATTCAACTCATAAAAAGGGTCACACATCACTCTTCAATGCATGGTGATTCATCTATAACTTCACTTTTTAAAGCTGAGGAGTTTTTGTTTTTTTAAACCCCTAAATTCTGGCACTGTCATACCATACTTGCTTTTTTTATACTAGGAGTTAAACCTAATATGCTAGCCAATGCACTAACACTGAGTTGCACCACAGCCCTTTTTATTTTTATTTTGAGACAGGGTTTCATCAATTTGCCCAGCCTGTCCTGGATTTGTAAGCCTCCTGCCTCACCCTCTGGAGTAGCTAAGATTATAGGCATGTGCTATAACACCAGCTTATACTTGTATGATTAAAATCATTCAGGTCCCAAAAACATACATTTAGAGTTATCTGTGCTCTCATGTAACTGTAGCACCATGCTTGTAGTTTGATTAAATTCACTGGAATCTAGCTGGGCATGTTGGCAAATGCCTGTAATCCCAGCACTCAGGAGGATGACGCAGGAGGGTTGCTGTAAGTTCAAGGCCAGCCTGGACTACAAAACAACATCCTCTCTTAAAAAGAAAAAAAAAAATTGGGGTTGGGGATTTAGCTCAGCGGCATAAGCGCCTGCCTAGCAAGTGTGCGGTCATGAGTTCGATCCCTGGTACTGATAAAAATGAAAAAAAAGGGGGGCTGGGGACTTAGCTCAGCGGCATAAGCGCCTGCCTTGCAAGCAGGCAGTTGTGAGTTCGATCCCTGGTACTGATAAAAAGGAAAAAGACCAAAAAGAAAAAGAAAAAAAATTTAATTGATGTCTCAAAAATGTCAAGTAATGGTACCTGTTTTGTCCCATGCTCATGCAGCATTATCCAGAACGGGCAAGCTAAGAAAATGACCTTAGACCCCGTGTTGTACTTGATAGCTTGGATCTTTCCCCTGGAGCCCGTGTGTCCTGAGCCTGGTCCCCAGCGCAGTGTGCTGGGAAGGGACACAGCCTGTAGCAGCAGACTAGTGGGAGGGAAGGTCTTCAGGTCACAGGGGTCCACCGATGAAGAGGATGGTGGAAACCCAGACTCACTCCGTTTTTCTCACTTCCTGGCCTTGCCATGAGCAGTTCTGCTCTGCCACACACCCACTTCCTGGTTGTGCTGCCATGGACCCAAAGCAACAGACAGGAACCTCTTGAAAGAGTTGCTGGCCCAGACTGGACACTTTAACCAGGAAAAGCCTCAGCCAAGTTAGGGGGCTCCTGCCTCCCCCGCCCCTATAGATTTACCTGTAACCCTATACCCCCATCCCTAAGAACCTGTCCCTGTCACCAAACGTGTGCCAATGAAATACCTGTGCATCCCTAATGCCCCTTGGGGTCCACCCCAGACAGAGGCTACTTATGGGCCTCACTCCACGTGTTCGAGAGAAGAAGAAGAATGTGTGTTCCAGAGAGAGACTGCCGGCCCCGGGGTGGAGATGCTGCGCCCCGGGGGCCGGGGGGGTCTCTCCCTGCATTCCCAAAATAAAGGTTACTTATATTTTATACTTCTTATCTTTGCAGCCACCGCCACCCACTCCTTCCACGGCCCTCTTTCCCTTCCTTCCTTCTCCCATCCTCCCCTTCTCAGACCTAACACCTCTCTAACACTGGAAGCCAGATAGCAGACGCAGATATGGTCATGGGTGTGGATATGGATGCAGTGGGGCATTATTCAGTCTTTGAAAAGGAGAACTTGCCACTTGCAACAACATGGAGAACATTATGTTATGTATAAAAAATGCCAGATAGAGCTGGGCATGGTAGCACAAGTCTGTAGTCCCAGCGCTTGGGAGCCTGAGGCAGAAGGATGGTTTTGAGTTTGAGACCAGCCTGGGCTACAAAGTGAGCTCATGGCCAATGTGAACTGTATAGCAAAACCCTATTTCAAAAAGACAGAAACAAACCAAAACATAAACAAACAAGCCAAAAAAAAAAAAAAAAAAAAAAGCCAGACATAGGAAAGAAAATATTGCATGATTGGCTTATTTCTGGATACTATAATATATTTATCAGAGGGACTGGAGATTTAGCTCAGCAGCATAAGCGCCTGCCTTGCAAGCAGGCAGTCGTGAGTTCGATCCCCGGTACTGATAAAAAGGAAAAAGGCAAAAAAAAGAAATACTTATCAGATTCAGGGAAAAAAAAAAATTTTTTTTTTGTTTTTGTTTTTTTTTTGTTTTTGGGGACAGGCTTTCTCTAAAGCACAGTAGTGCAGATTGCACTCTATCTCACAGTGATCCTCCTGCCTGAGCCTCCTGGGTGCTGAGGTGACAGGCACGCAACACCACCCCGGTCATATTAAGATACTAGATTCACTTATATGTGTAATCTAATAAAGCTGAATGTACACAGAGAACAATGTTTGCTGGGGGTGGAACAGTGAGGTAAAACAGAAGATACTTCCCAGAAGGTGGAAATCTATAGTAATGCCTAATTATAGCAGCCTGGTGGACAGCATGATGACTGTTAAAAGCAGCCTCTTGTGTACTGAACATTTGCTATGTAAACATATTTCAGGGTTTCACTATCACACCACAAATAAGTTTCTGG